ATCTTAGCTTGATATTGTCTATCACTAGCATGGACACACTGATACTCCTGTGCCACACCACCTCTGCACTAGTATCTCCACAACACCTCACTATCGTCTCCACCTCTGACACTACCATCTTTGCAACACCATATGCACCACCTACACCAACATTCCCACTGCCATGTCACCTTTGCATCACCCACCTATAATGTCTTCACAATGACACCACCACCACAACAACAGGTGCACCACCACCCACCTGTGACAAATTCCGCACCACTGACCACGCACCAGCTTGCTCCCCACACACCACACATACACTGTAAATGGCAAACATTTCAGCAAGCAAATATATTGATTATGTATCTACATATCTTGTACCTACATAGTCACAATACTATATTACTCTATTATGTTAGCTTATGCATGTTAGAATACACAATCCATACTATAGAATTAGAATATTTCCGCTTTGTTGCTTACTAATGGCATAGCCACAACACAGTATGCCTTGTCGCATCACCACAGGACATAATTGCTCATGTCCGAGAGGAAGCAGACTTCAGAACCACTGGAAAAGGCCCAAATGAGTCAGCATTAAACGTCCAAAAGAAAAAGGGAAAAGGAACACCACAAAAGCAAAAGAAAAAATGTGGCAATCCCAACTGCAAACAAGAGGGCCATACAACTGAAGAATGCTGGAGAAAAGGCAGAGGAAAGGAAGAGCAAGGCCCACATCAATGAAAAAAAAGAGACCAGGCCAATGTGGCGCGCAAGATCACTGATGACGAGAACTACACATTTGCATCATTCAAATTGCCCAACACTACCTCCCACTCAAAATCATCAAATGACATGGATATCATCATAGACTCTGGGGCTACATCCCACTTCTGCCCTGACAAATCAAAATTCAAACAATTTACTCAAATACAACCGCGCTCCATCAGCATAGCCAATAGAACTGATCTCCAGGCGACCGGGAAGGGCGATGTAGACATCTATCTCCCAAATAAAGATCAACGCACAAAAATAACCCTGAAAGATGCACACCAAAAATGGCCATAACAATTATTGCTGTGGGCCGAATCAACAAAGTGGGCATGTCAGTCAAGATGACGAATGGGAACTGCTATATAATGACAGCAAAGGCTAACGTAATAGCCAATATCCCATTGATAAACGGACTGTACCGAGTCTCTGCAAAAGAACATGCAAACATGGCTTGAACAGAACCAAGACATGTCTTAGCACAATACATGCATAAATGTATGGGCCATATTGCTTTCTCGGCCATCAAAAATATGATGTCCAAGGATGTGATCCAGGGCCTGATAGTGACCGAATCACCAGACAACAGTTTCTGCGAATCATGCGTCAAAGCAAAAATTACCCGAACACCAGTCCCAAAAAAAACCCTCACCCGCTCTACAAAATATGGTGAACGGATCCACACAGATGTATGGGGACTCATGCAGACCAAATCAATAGGAAATAAATCCTATTATGTATTGTTCACAGATGACTTCTCTCGCAAAACGGCAGTATACTTCCTATCAAAAAAGGACAAAGTACTATCAGTTTTCCGAGAATTCATACAAAAACGCACTATACAGCATGATAAAACTAAAATAAAACGGCTGAGATCAGATAGTGGTGGAGAATACATAGGAAAGGAGTTTAAAACCTACCTATCAAATCTCGGTATTCATCACAAACAGACTGTCCACAACACTCCAGAACAAAACGGCGTGGCCAAACAACTTAACCGTACAATAGTCAAAAACGCTCGTGCCATGATGTTTGAAGCAAAACTACCAAAACACCTATGGGCCAAAGCAATTAATTACGCTGTATGGCTAAAAAACCAATCCCCAACAAAATCCTTACCTGAAAAAATGCCATACAAAATGGTGAATAAAAAAAAACCAAACCTATCTAATATATACATCAGTTCAGATGCACAGTCTATATAAAAAAGACTCACTCCCCCAAACTAGAACCCAAAGCTGAGGAGGCCAAATTTGTTGGTTTCGACGACAACAGCAAAGGATTCCAAATATACTGGCCGAGTAAAAATCATATATCAGTTGAGTGAGAAGTTTGTTTCAAACCCGAAAATGACAACTTACCAGGCAATGTTATACTTGAAGGGGAGAACTCTGAAAACAACCACAATGTCACAAAGGTAACAACAAAAAAAACAATATGAGAACAAAACTCACCAAACAAATCAACACCAATGTCATCCGCCAACCAAAAACCAATCCAACCTCAAAATGATCCTGAGGACCCTTCAACCGAACAACAAACTCGTAACAGACCACCTCCCAGGTTTTACATGGCATTGAATTGTGGAGAAAGAGCAACCATGGCTTGGACAGACAACAAAGAAAGCGAAATGACACGAGATGACGATGATAGAGACAAGAAATTCACTCTTATCCATCAAGTGCTTGTGTCGCATGATACTGATTCCCCATTGGTATCTCAAGTGCTGAAAGGACCAGACACCAATCAATGGCGCCAAGCAATGAACAACAAAATCAAAGCAATTGAAAAACTACACACCTGGGAAATTGTTGTCCCACCACCAAACACCAATATCATCAAGTCCCACTTTGTCCTCAAGACAAAAGGAGACCAACTTGGCAAAGTATCCCACTACAAGGCAAGGCTAGTTGCAAACGGCTATGGACAATGCCAAGGCATTGACTACACCAAAACGTTTGCAGCAGTCGCAAAGCTACCATCAGTAAGGGCCATCCTAGCAAATGCCACCAACCAGGGATGGCACATCCATCAAATAGACATCAAAAATGCATACCTAAATGCCACACTCAAAGAAGACGTGTACATGACACCTCCACCAGGATACCTTAAACCAGAGGACATCCAAAAAGTCTGAAAACTAAAAAAAGTCTCTATGGACTCAAACAGGCTAGACACAAATGGTACAAAACACTTGCAAATACACTACGAGATATTGGATTCAAACGATCAGCCGTTGACCACACAGTTTTCTATTACCACAAGTCTAATGAATCTATAGTACTGTCAGTATCCACTGACGACATAGTGATCATGTCAAACGCAATGCAGGCCATATAATCGTTCAAACACAATGTTGCAAAATATTTTGAGGTATCTGACCTTGGACACATCAAGTGGCTTCTAGGATTTGCTATAAAATATAATCAAAAGTCATGCACCATACATTGACACAATGATTGAACATTTTGGACTGAAGGATGTGGAACCAGCACTTACCCCATTAGGACCTGGCATATCCCTCAGCACCAAACAATCACCATCTACACCAAGGCAATTCGAAGAAATGTGTGACACACCCTATCAAGAGGCTATTGGATGCCTCACATGGATCTTGCTAGGGTCTTGACCAGATGTGGCTTTCGCCACGGATCTACTGGCTCTATTCACTCAAAATCCAGGCAAACAACACTGGGAGTCAGTCAAATGAGTCATCCACTACCTCAAAGGGACTCAAGAACTCGCTCTCAAATCAGCTGATGGAAACGAACCAATCGTCTCCTACACAGACACTGACCATGCATCCCAGGATCACTGACATTCTATTTCAGGCCACGTATTATTCTTCTCGGGCCTACTAATTGTATGGGGGGCCAAGAAACAATTGATAATCACATCATTGAGTACAGAGGCTGAGTATATAGCGGCGACGCATGCACTCAAAGATGTCTTCTGGCTCCAAAGTCTTATCGGTGAAATCAGATCCCCCATAGACGAACCCACAATACTCTACTGCGACAACCAAGGAGTGATTGTATTGTCCAAAAACAACATATATCATCCCCGCATAAAACACATAGACATATGATATCATTTCATCCGAGAAGCAGTTGATGATGACAAAGTCACACTACTATTCTGTCCTACGAACGACATGATAGCAGACATATTCACTAAGTCTCTATCAAAAGTTAAATTCACTCGTATGATTGGTCTATGCTAGGATTGAAGGGGAGTGTTAGAATATACAATCCATACTATAGACTTAGAATATTTCTGTTTTGTTGCTTACTAATGGCATAGCCACAACACAGTATGTTACAATACATAATTTTCATTCTCCACTTTACCTTTCTTCTATAGTTTTCACACACTGTGCCATGCAGCACTTTCCTTTGTTCAAAGTCCCCTTTTATCACGCTGCACTGCTTTTCTTAATTTAGCTACAAATCTCTTGCACAGTAGAACTGGTCACATGGGCTGCGCCCTCTGACATCATCAGCCACTGCTTTCATCAACTGTATAGTACATAAGTACAAACACCCTGTAGTAGTATAAATACCCAATAGATCCAGGGGACTCCTCAGCAAGTCCTCCTGTTGTTTACCCACAACTAACTCAGTCCTATCCTAAGGGTAACCACTCCCCTCACCACCTTTACAGCTTTGTCTGAGTTGTGCGCCAGAGTATACAAACTCTTGGTTGTTACATTAGGACTTGCTCTCACTACTCTCTTGCACTTTGTGCAAACCGGGTCCCCTGGGTTAAGGGGTTATTGTTTGGGAATATCCCGTATAGCAGAAGGGTGCGCTCCTAGCAACAGCCCTGTAGTGCTCTGGGAGAGGAAACAATTACATATACATGGCCCCCAGTGTCAAGGGGAGTACCTAGCTCAGCAGTTGGTGTGGAACCACTGTTGATTAGAATTTACCTACAAATCTTCTCTTTCGAATACCTCTGACCAGGCCGGACACTTGCCTCCGCCAGTCTGGAGAAGGGTTGACAGCTTAATAAGTGGACCACCCCCTGACAACCGTTCGGACCAGGGTTTATTACATTACTTTTTATATACCTTTCAAATACTATAGTGTGGGTAGTTGGAGATTGAGATCCAATACTCAGCTGGGAAGAGGTAGATCCGCAGATAGCAAGCGGGGACCCCCAGTTACATTTTTTTACATTTACAAAGAGAACAAGTTGACATGTTGTTGCAAAACCAACCCAATGTCAACACTCTGTTGCACAACATGTGTGCACAGATTTTGGTGTTAACTACGCAACTTGCCAAGCTACAGGCAAACACCACTGTAGCAGCCCCCTCAGTGGAAAATAAAATTAACAAGAAAGTTGAAGTCATCGCTGACCCCGGCGCCTTTGAAGGAGACAGAGTGCAATTTGCCGAATGGTGGATCAAACTCCAAATTTGGGTTAAGGCAAACTGGGATGCATTTGCCGATAACTTTGAGGTAGCAACTGCGGTGCTATCTCGACTAAAAGGCCCTGTGGGGGGTCGATACGCCCAAGTAAGACTTCAGGAGTGCTACTCCACAGGGGTGTGGCCTACCTGGGACAATCTCAAGGTTGAGATCAAAAAATATTTCAAACCACAGGCTGAGCGTGACTGGGCTCGCCAACAAATATGTTTCTTCAAACAAGGAAACATGAGGACGGATGATTATGTTACCTGGTTCCTGGCCCTCTCCATCCAAGGAGGGCTTGGCAATGAACATGCAGTAGAGCTGCTGGAGTGCAATGTGAACCCCGCATTGCAGAACAGATCTACTTGCAGGATACAAGAAACGAGGACCTGGCCCTGGCGGCTGAGGAAGTACGACGAGTTGGTAGAGCCATGGAGCTCTATGCTATGCACCAAGGTGGCGGGTCTACCAAAAATCACTATTCCCAGAGGCACCCTGGGTCATCAAACCAACACAATCATTCTCACGGGTTTAAGCTGTTCGGGCTGCAACCAGGGCAGGGAGCCCCTATGGATATCGGTGTGGTCCAGGGCGAACAAATGCACAGATTCAAAGGGAACTGCTACAATTGCGGCCAAGAGGGACACATGTCCCGAGACTGTAGGAATTGGGTGCAGGCTGCCCAACAAAAAAATAACCAAGGGCGCCAGGCGTGCAAATTAGAAACAGAAAAGCTGGACGATCGGCTCAATACTCTGGCCGGCCGTTCGTACGACGAAATCTGAGCCTTCTTTTACGACCAACAGGTCGCTGAAATGAAGACTCAGGGAAAAGAGTTCGGAGCTTAGGTCACTTGGGTGCCTTCGCTCCTATGAACAATGAACCACAACAAAGTGGCCCCTGCTCCGGGGTGTTGCACGAGCAATAAAGGAAAGTTGGGGGTGGCTCCCCAATTTGTAAATAGATTTTTAAATTTGATATCAGAAGTATGTACTTGTATGAAGCATTGCAGATGTAATATCTATGATACTACCGCTGCACCAGCGTCTCCCTTGGAGTGTGACCCCGGCGAGACAAACACTAGGGTGCTTGATTCTGGTAAAAATAAAAATATAGAAAATCCTAAAATAGAAAAACATATTTCTTTTGATACTTCTTCCTCTTCTTCTTCTTCGGAGCCACTTTCCACAGAAATCCCAAAGTGTGTGTTGATGTGCACATATTCATTCCAAAAGAAGATCCGTTTAGATGTTGGTGTGGAAAACCTTGCCCGGGGCATAGTACACCCAACCAGCGTGCTACTTGATTCAGGCACTAATGGCATCTTCATAGATCAGGTCTGGGCAGAGCAAATGGGACTCCCCCTTGTTAAATTAGATATATTTGTTCCCGTCTACAACAACAACAGTACACTTAACTATTAAGAACAAAGCTTGAAGGAAGTGTCTAGCCACTTGCTGAGAGCAATCAGGGACTGGAACTAGAGTCCAATGTGAGTAACTATATTATTAGAGAGTATGACAGGTATATAGTACCTAGAGTCCAATGTGAGTAACTAGAGAATAGGAAGCATTGGACTCTGCAGTACTGTCCAAATTCTTGTAAACAAAGGTAAACAAAGCAGCCACAAAGGCAAAATAATAGAGAACACAATCAATAGTGAATGATAGAAGAATAGATAGAGAAAGGAATGAAAATATATAGGTAGCACAAAGGTGCAGAATCACCAAAACTAACATTAACGTGGGTGGCTGCATTACACACAAATGTTCTTTTGTCGTCGAGTACCAAGGACACAGAGAACAAGTCACCGCTGAAGCTACCCAACTAGGGAAGATTAATTTAATCTTAGTCTGGACCTGGCTATTTGAACACAACCCTGAGATTGACTGGCAGACAGGGGTTGTCACATTGTCACGTTGCCCTCAGGAGTGTAATGACTTGGGTAAGCCGAGTCATGTCCGTCAAACTGAGCTTGATGAAAGGATAAATGCTGGTCACGTTTATGCCAAGCTTAGATCTTTAGAAAAGATTGACAATGACAATGACGAGGTAAAACCTGAGGAAGAGATTAAGAGGCTGGTACCTCCCAAGTACCATGACTTCTGGAAAGTCTTTTCAAAGCACAAATCAGAACGCTTCCCAGAGGCTAAGCCTTGGGACCATGCTATAGATTTGAAGGACACCTTCAAACCGAGAAAAGGACACATGATACCACTCTCTGCTCCAGAAAGAGATGAGGTATCAAGTTTCATAGATAAACAGCTTAGGAAAGGTTATATCAGACCTTCCAAAAGCCCTATGACGTCCCCGGTGTTCTTCATTCCTAAAAAGGATGGTAAAAAGCATATAATTATGGACTATTGTTACTTGAATGAGTACACAGTTAAAAATGCGTATTTGCTGCCTTTGATCAGTCAGCTAGTAGACAAATTGGCTGGTGCCAAGATCTTGACAAAGATGGATCTTAGATGGGGGTACAATAATGTACAAATCAAAGAAGAAGATGCTTGGAAGGCCGCATTCACATGCCACCAAGGATCTTTCAAGCCCCTCGTTATGTTTTTTGGGTTGACCAATTCACCGGCGACCTTTCAGAGCATGATGAATGAGATCTTTGCGGATATGGAAAAGTATGTCGTCATTTACATTGACAAATTATTAATATTTAAGAAGTCAGACGATGAGGCTGAGCATGACAGGATTGTGCAAGAAGTCCTTCGACACTTACAGGAACGGGACCTATTTGTCAAACCCAAACAATGTAATTTGAGAGTAAAGGAAGTAGACTTCCTTGGTATGATAATTGGCCAGAACAGAATCAGGATAGATTCTGAGAAAGTTCAAGCTATATTGGATTGGCCAGAACCTACTCGCGTCAAAGGAGTTAGGGCCTTCCTTGGCTTAGGCAATTTTTATCAAAGATTTGTTGAAAACTTCGCAAAAATAACGAGACCGTTGAACGATCTCACAAAAAAGGACATTATTTGGCATTGGGGTGCCAAAGAACAAGAAGCTTTTGATAAGCTTAAACAGGTATTTACGATGGCACCCATATTGGCATTTCCAGAATTAGACAAAGAGTTCCTGCTAGAAACCGACTCTTCTGATTTTACTACTGGGGCTGTTCTATCAATTAAATGCCCTGATGATCTTTGGAGGCCTTGTGCCTATTTATTGCATAGTTTGTTGCCTACAGAGCGCAACTATCAAATTTACGACGAAGAGATGCTGGCCATCATTAGAGCTTTAGAGCACTGGCGGCACTACTTAGAAAGTGCTAGGCACCAATTCAAAATTTGGACTGATCATAATCATCTGGAGTATTTTATGACAGCCTGAGACTTGAACCAAAGACAGGCCCACTATGCAGTGTACTTGTCTAGGTTCAATAACAAATTAATTCATAAGCCTGGAAGTTCCATAGGGAAAGCAGACACTTTATCCGGAAGAGAGGATCATGCCAATGACATTGAAGATGACAACAAGGGTGTCACCCTGATAGACCATCCAGGGTTGCCAATATTTGAATCAGGCAGGATTCTGATCTTCTGGAAGTCTTCAAGAAAGACATCTCCTCAGAAGAGAAGGCGCACCTTGATGGCAATAAAAACTATTTATGGGAAGACAGGCTCTTCTGTTTTAAAGACAAAATCTATGTGCCTGAGTCCACAAGGATCAAGGCAATAGACAGACATCACAACACTCCAGTGGCTGGGCACCCTGGATGGCAATGAACGATGGAGTTGACCTCCAGAAACTACATGTGGCCTGGCATGGTCAAAGACGTACATGAGTATGTAAAATCCCGTCTGAGATGTGCCATGGCAAAGAATTTGCATCAACCAATGGCCGGTAAACTTATGCCAAATCCGATACCAGCTGGTCCTTGGCAGGATATATTGGTTGATTTCACAACAGATCTACCCGAATCAAATGGGTATGATTCAGTAATGGTGGTAGTAGATCACTTCTCCAAAGAAGTAGTGTTCATCCCCACCAATAAAACCATTACCGCCGCTGGTACGACAGATCTATTTAAAGATTTTGTATGGCCTATCCATGGATTACCGGAAATAGTTATCTCCTATAAGGGACCGCAATTTGCTAGTGAATTTACGAAAGAGTTATGCCGGATGCTGGGCATCAAACCTAAATTATCAACGGTGTTCCATCCGCAGACTGATGGACAAACGGAGAGGCTCAATCAGGAATTGAAGCAATACCTCCATATATTTATTAACAACAGGCAGACAGATTGGGCCAAATGGCTAAAAATAGCCCAGTTCTCATATAATGTCAAACAGTCGTCGGCTACAGGAAAGGCACCATTTGAGGTTACTAGATTGTACCTTCCCAGAATGGGTGTAGAACCTGGGAAAAGCAAGAACGAGGCTGCTGGGAACATGGCCAAGGACATGAAGTCCGTCTTAGACAAAACGCGCAAAGCGCTATTCAAAACTGCAGAGCAGATGAAAGACAGGGCAGAGCGTAGACGCTCTAAGGCCCCTGACTACAAGGTCGGCAACCTGGTCTGGTTAGACACTGACCACTTAAAATTAAAAGATCGGCAGTCTAGAAAACTGACCGAAAAGTGGATTGGTCCTTACCGGATTAAGGAAGTCAAACCCAACGCAGTGAAGCTGGAACTCCCAAAATGAATGAGAGTAGTACCCACGGTCAATATTAGCCGTGTGAAACCCTACAAAGGGCCACTACCAGGACAGCACGTGGACTGGCCTGGACCGGTTGCAGTCACCCAGGAAGGTGAAGAAGAGTTCAAAGTCGAACGAGTGGTGGATGCACACTTGAAGCGTGGAAAATTAGAGTTCCTACTATGGAAAGGCTATGGAGACGGAGACAGAACGTGGGAACCAGAAGCCCATCTGGACAATTCCCGCGATGCTGTTTGTGAATTTTATTCCAAGAATCCCTCAGCTCCCAGGAAGCTTAGAGGCATGGATTCAAACCTTTTTGATTCCCTTTTTCAACCTATGCCCAAAAATTTAACTACCACCTCCAGTACTTGGTCTCACCTGGAAGTCGGACCTTAAAAGGGGGGTAGTCTTATGATACACAATTTTTGGACCTTTAATTTTTATTCTCCTCTTTAACTTTCTTCTATAGTTTTCATACACTGTGCCATGCAGCACTTTCCATTTTGTTCAAACTCCACTTTCTTGCGCTGCACTGCTTTTCTTTATTCTTAACTACAAGTCTCTCATGTAGTGGAGCTGGTCACACGGGCTGTGCCCTACGACATCATCAGCCACTGCCTTCATCAACTGTATAGTACACATGTACAAATAGTGTGTAGTAGTATAAATACCCCAATAGATCAAGGAGACTCCTCAGCAAGTCCTCCTGTTATTTACCCATAACAGACTTGGTCCTACCATAAGGGAGATTATCCTTTCCTCCACTCACTACTCTCTGCCTGTCTTGATTGTGCACCAGAGTATACAAACTTTGGTTGTTACAGGTCCTCAAAATGTATACTTTAAGTGTTACAACATACAATTTTTGGACCTTGAACTTTTATTCACCTACTTAACTTTCTTTTTGGATGCTTGTGCCATGTGGCATCTTTCTTTATTTTCAAACTCCACTTATACTTTCACTTTCTCACGCTGTGCAACTTCTTTATATTTTTAGTTACAGCCTTCTCACGTGGTGGAGCTAGTTACAAGGGCTACACCCTATGACATCATCAGGTACCACATTTATCAACTGTGTAGTACATATGTATAAATACCCTGTAGAAGTATAAATACCCCAATAGATAAAGGAGGCACCTCAGAGAGTCCTCCTGTTGTCTACCAACAACTAACTTGATCCTACCCTAAGGGAGTTTACCCACTCCTTCACTCACCCTCTCTGCTTGTGTTAGTTATGTGCTAGAATATAAAAAACTTTAGTTGTTACTTTAAGGTGAGTTCCCTGCAAAAGAAGCTATACTCTGATTAGACTTTACATCTAGGAATTTCATGTTGAACCCTCTACTTTCTGTGACAATACCCCAAAGTTGTTATAGTCTGGTGCACACAGCAAGGAACTCAAAAAAAAAGTAATGATAATAAAGGTGAGTTGGTAGACTCAAGTTAGGAGCTAGTTGGTTGATGATATTCAATGGGAGGACTCACTAAGGAGTCTCCATCTATTGTAAGGGTTTATATACTAAGATACATATGGTACCATACAGCTAATATAAATATTTGTATTGTTCTATTATATTGTAGATGATGTCATGTCCATATTACTAAATAGTGATCAGTTGTGTGACTTCACTATATATATAGCTTACATAATATCCCCATATAGAAGGTGCTATGTGGCACAGAGTTAGAAAAAAAATGAAAAGTGAAAAGTGAAAATAAACCCAAGAATACTATTGTAACACACGAGGTCCAGCCCGTGGCTCTGCCACTGGTGCAATATTTTTGCTATATGATGAATAATAATAATAATACTGTTAAGTGATCAAAATGTTAAGTCAGTGAACTTATGCTGTCTGTAATGTATGTCAAGTCTTTGAATCCTATGATGCATGTTTGACTTGCTGTTCTGTTATTGAATGCTCTTATAAGCCTGCCCTAAACTTGTGCACAGTATACTGAGTTCAAGCAGATGATTCATTGAATCCTTACAAATATCAACATATATTGTAACATAAAAAGTCTATGGTAGTATACTGATAAATTGATGAGAAATAAAAAAAGAGACCCCAGAAATGGTAAAGAATGATAATATGATCTGATAACAAAACAATTTAGTAAAATAGGGTGAGAATTGGGGGAAAATCTACTTGCCAGTCATGGATAAAGCCAGTCAGAATTTTGGGATACACCACATTGAAGGTATGTCTGTCATTTGAACCATGTGGAAATAGCACTTTTATTCTCTCTCCCAAAGTGCAGCAAGACAATGTAACATAAAGTTGCCCATGTGAAAACACTGGAACACATAAATACAGCCTAACCTGTGTCACTGATTGCCCTTGAGATTTGTTGATGGTTATGACAAAGACAACACGGACAGGGAATTGACGACGTGATAGCTTGATGGGAAATTCTTCCAATGAAGGTTCTAGTGTGAGGCGTAGAACAAAAGCTATCTTTCCTGCATGTTTATGTTTTCCTCCCAAGACACGGCACTTCAATACTCTTCTCTTCATCTCTATCAAAATCATGTGTGTTCTATTACAGAGTCCATTTAGGGAATCAATATTGCAGAGGAGCATAAGCGGACATCCAGCTTTAAGTTTGAGGTGCACTTCAGGAGGGCCAGATACTTGCAAGGAGTTCAAGAATTCCACAGGATAATGTTCATGCCTCACTCCAACCACTTTATCAATTGACAGAACTACTAACTCTTTTCCAGGGAATTTTGTGAGGATTGCTGAATTAAGGTCGCTAACGGCATCATTTTGTGCAGAGAGGATGGTGCGGTGGAGGAAATAATGGTCAACTTGGTCTCCATTTGCAATTCCAGGATAAGTAGCATTGACTAATGAGTCTATGGTGTTTTCTGGCATAAGCATGTTGGCAGGAAGCTCAATTGTCCAATCTCCTGCAATTTCACGACGACCGCCAACATCGAGGCAGCTAGCAAAAACTTCACTCTCTGGAGTACAGTCCAGGCACATGTTCTGTGTGGGATAGCAGATATAGATATTTGTCCACAGTCGTGACCTTCTAAGAGAGGCAGAAATAATGTGTTGCCTTGACCCTCTTAGAACAACATGTGGTATTTGGTGAAAGTCTCCTCTAAAGACCATTACAATGCCTCCAAATAGAAGCTGATTAACCAGGACGTCCAGCAATGTATGATCCAATGCTTCAATTCCATGATGGTGTTGTATTGGTGCTTCATCCCAGACAATAACTCCGGTATGTCTCAATACCTCATGGAGGTCAGAATTTTTTGGAATCCTGCATGTGGATGTTTCATGTACAGGAATAGGGATTCCAAATTGTGAACAAGCTGTGCAGCCACCCTCCAAGAGCAGGGATTCAATCTCAGAGGATGCTACATATAGAGCAAGATTATGATTATCTCTTGCTCAAGCAGCAGCGGCAATTGTATTACAGAGATATGATTTTCCCTTACCTTCAGCACTGTGAATAAAGCAAGTTATTCCCCAATTATGATATATTAACTGTATGATGGTATCAAAAGCATTTTGTTGCTCTTGACTGAGCTACTCCATACTATCTTTTGAGTAATAATAATACAGTTAAGCGATTAAATTTTATTTAGTCAGAAGTCAGTGAACTTGTGCTGTCTGTCCTTATAAACGTGAGAATTTCAATGTGGCTACGATTTTCACTGCATTCACTACTACTGTACTGCTGCTCCTGTGTTGCCACAAAAACCACGCGAGCGAAACTAAGCAAAATAACTGACACAATGTGGCTCGCACGTGGCATTTGGGACCACCGTCCCCTTTGTTATAGATTCCCCAAGTTTTGGACACACTCAGAGAATAATTATAGCACTTTACAGTAAGTTTTTGAAGCATTTGAATAAACATGTGTATAGCTATATTTGTACACAAGGCCTAATAGTGTAAGGCTGATGTTGTAAACTTTTTCAGATGAGTGGTGTTGAGAAGGGCTACAGTATATCTGAGGATGTGATTTCTGTCTTTGTTGTCTACAGAGTTGATTGTGATAAATCAAGATTCCCTCAGTAAACTGGTGCATCCCCCACTATCACCGCCTTTGTTTTCTCCCCCTCCTTCTCCGCCTTCTCCTCCTCTCTCTCAACCCACTGTTTTTCCTCCTTGACCCTCTGGGCTTCTACTGCCTGTTTTGCTTCCTCCTCTGCCCTTTTTTGCTCCGCCTTGAGCTGACACTTGGCCTCTGCCATCTGTGCATGGAGTTGGGCCATCTTTGCAATTGTGGTCCCGGGGGCACTGGACATGGTGGTAATAGGATTATTGGTGGTGGGAAGGGTGGTCTAAGTTTTTGAACAAGACTGTTCAACTGAAGGAATTCTGAGTCAACCCCCCGTGTTATATATTTTCATTTAAACTCAGCCGGACTCCACACGTCACTCACTACCGGGAAATTTGTCCACCGGAGCCTTTTCCCCAAAGGCTAGTTTTGGGTCTCAAGGGTTCAACCCTAAAAGGGGGATACTGTTATATTTGTACCGGAAGACAGAACTCTGGCATCTCCCAAGGAGTTGTTCTCTGGGCCCAAAGCCCCCGAACCATTGGTATACTCGGGATTATGTTCCTTGTGGTCTGCCGAACTCTATGCTCTATTCCCATATGGTACTCTGGTTGTCCGCTCCAATACTCCTGCACTAGACTTTTAGTCTGCCATACAGTCTCCTCACATGTTCTAGTATTCCTTGTGGACTCTGTAGTTCAACCTTATGATACATACATTCTCCTCTCACTAGATAATTGTCCGCATGGCCTACATTACAAGTTACTCCTTATGAGCTCCTGCTCCCCCAACAGTATATAAGCTGTAACTCCTGTACTACCTTCCTGCAGTTTGAATATCAACTAGATTCCCTTGCTTTCTTACCAGTCCTTTCCGATCCTTCTCCGAAGGATCTTTACTCTGCTCCTTTTTATCCTCTACTTCTCCTCCGTCCACTTCCAACGAGCTAGGGACCAAGGTCTGTGGAAGGGTCTAGTGCACGAGCTAAGCCAATTCCCCATCTCGTCCTCCATACTCCGTTACCCTGCCCTCTGTACTTCGCAGCTCTGTTACTCCAAAGAGGCCACAATTCTGACACACATATGCCACATAGTATATTTATCTTTTATATATTCTCAGGTTTAACTGATCTTTCATTTCTCACAATGTGCAACTTCTTTATATTTTTAGTTACAACTCTCTCATGTAGTGGAGCTGGTCACAAGGGCTGCACCCTATGACATCATCAGTACACATGTACAAATACTCTGTAGTAGTATAAATACCCATCAATAGATTGGAGATTCCCCAGCAAGTCCTCCTGTTGTCTACCAATAACATACTTGTTCCTACTAAGTGGAGTCTACCAACTCCTTCATTCCACCCTCTCTGCTTGTTTGTGTGTGCACCAGAGTATAACAACTTTGGTGTAGTTATAGTTTCCCAAAAGGCGGGAAGTTGGTTCCTGTGTATTGTTGATAGGATTATTGTTATTGCTCCAGTATGCTGACAATAGTTGGCTTCCTTTGGACTGAGTCATTGCTGTGACTGGGTTGACAGTATATACTGACTTGGACAATCTGAAGCACAGACTTAGGGATGCACATGCTCCTTGTCTGGTCTCAAGTCAAATACTTTTTGTTAATGATTGTGTGTTTGTGAAAGAAGGATGGGATCCACTGTGACTGTGTGAGATTTTTGAGGTTTTGTTGATTGCTGATAGTCCTCATAGGAGGCTGTGTTTTTTGTGTTAGTTTTGATGATTCTACACCTTTGTGCTACCTATATATTTTCATTCCTTTCTCTATCTATTCTTCTATCATTCACTATTGATTGTGTTCTCTATTATTTTGCCTTTGTGGCTGCTTTGTTTACCTTTGTTTACAAGAATTTGGACAGTACTGCAGAGTCCAATGCTTCCTATTCTCTAGTTACTCACATTGGACTCTAGGTACTGTATACCTGTCATACTCTCTAATAATAAAGTTACTCACATTGGACTCTAGTTCCAGTCCCTGATTGCTCTCAGCAAGTGGCTAGACACTTCCTTCAAGCTTTGTTCTTAATATTTTGTTCTTAGCAAACACAGAGAATTGTGTCTGAAATTTGTGAGAATGGGGGAACAAGGTGGGGGCATTTCTTGACTGGCTTTTTAGACTGGGGATGCTTACTCTGTGAAGGTGTTTGCTGTCTGGAGCTGGAATGGGGGAGCCTTTTGATATCTGTCTAGGTTGATGAACTCTGACCTTTGTTCGGGAGGTGTCTTGTGAATCTCCTTTGGGGGCTTAATATGTGTTGTGAGGTGCAAGTCTAGGTAATAGTAGTTTTCTGGTTGACCCTGCTAGTAGTCATATGTATTTCTGCAAAGGCATTAAATCAGTTATAGTTTATTTGATAATATCTTGCTACATAGATAACTGTGGTAATTCCAGAGCTAATACTTGCAATCAAAGCCCCAACTTCTGGGAGGTGTGTATTTATCAGATAAAAAAACCAATGTGGCTTGCTGCTCATTTGGTAATTCATAATAACTTCTTGAGTTGCATGGCCTTGTGCTGGTGATGCTTTATTAAAATATCTGTCCTATCAACTTTTGATGGTAAGATAAAGGTCTACCATAGGTTAACGGGTAATGGGGAATAAGGGTTCTATTCTGGGGAGGGAGCCAGAGAAATGACTAGGCAGCAAGTGCATAAACTACCCAATCCTAATATGGGAGGTAGTGACAATAAATAACGATATAGGGCTCTTTTGGGTCTTATAATTTGAATGAGTACAATTTAAATATATTAACAAGGAACAGTTGGAGGGCAAGTCTGGTGCCTGCAGCCATGGTAATTCCAGCTCCAATAGCATATATTAAAGCTGTTACAGTTAAAAAGCTTGTAGTTGAACATATTAGTATGGCTTGTAATGAGAAAATGGGTACCTGGAGAAATCTGAATATTATTTGAACAATGAACAATAGGAAGATAATGAATTACACCATTCTGACCTTATATGTATGTGGATTTGAGTGTGATATGGTATAATGCTAAGTTCACATATTTATTGGTTGTTGGGATGTGTGAAAACCATGACCATAAGATTTTTTGGCTCAGCTGTGAGTGAGAACCTCAAATCACCATGTCAAGCATTTGCTTTGGTTTGTTATGGCAGTTGTGCTGTGTCAAACCTGAAGGTTGAAATAGTGCAATAATCCATATATACATCTGAATGAAAATTTATTACACAGAACTACCTAATCGCAAGTCAACCATGTGAGAAAAAGCTAGCACCAGAGTACAAGCTACATATTTGCATTCACCGAGTCCTTCCACATGTATTGCTCCAATATATATACTACAGTATATGTACATGAGGTACTATACAGTTGTAAATAAATTTTAAAGTCCAATGTCTAGCATGTGATTGTTCATGTGACTATGGAAAGTCTGAAAAGTAAAGTAAAGTAAATGGTCAAGTGATCAGTCATGTGACTTGGAAACAAAAAGTAAAGGTACAGAAAAAGTAAAGCAGAAGTAGGTGCTGGTATGTCTATTATAACACTCCCTTACTCTTTGGAGATGCTATCAAATATTGCTTCTAAATTTTTAAAGTATTTGTATTTCTCTAATATCTTTTGTGTTTGGCTTGTGCACCTGAAATTTTGGTCTATTACACTGTATATCAATACTAGTAAAGCTTTACAATAAGCAACATCAACCTTGAGTTTGTTACACCGAACAGGCATACCAAGCTCATTTTTGTGGGCAATTAGATTTCATTGTAGTGATCAAACCTACTAATTTGACATATTGTTGTCTGCCATCAGAGCTTAGAGAAGGTGTATATGCAAGCTCTTGGGAATAGTGAATCCATTCTAAGTTCTGTTTTTATCTTTGGACCCAGTATCATGATTAGGTTTAGATTTTATGAAGATCATTGCCAAGTTCTGCTAGCAATGCTATGCTGGATGGTGCTTTTATTATATAGGTTTGAATTTGGGTTTTATGGGGGTAGGTGTAATTATTGATTAGAATTGGTTTAAACCTTCAGGGGCAACTGTAACAGTTGTATCACTACTTGCTGAGTCATCTCTACAATTCCTTTCTTATACTAGTGAATTGACCCTCCTATCCAATGAATTCAATTATATATTTTTCCTGATGCATACTGCAAACGAATTTTTCTTAGAAACTCATTCGTCTTCTACATTGATCAAGATGGTACTCACATATGTTGGAATTGTCAAAGTCAAAGCCTGGGCCTTGTTAGACAATATTGTGCAATTGAGTGTTGATATCCAAGGGCTGGTAGCTCAGTTGGTTAGAACACTACCATATATATATTGGAATCTAGGAAATAATAACTCAGTTATATGTGAATAAAACTCTGGATTTATGCTGTACCTAGGAAAGTATAACTACAGCAAAATAAATAAGTCATCCTGAAAGTGAAAACTGTGTCTACTAACCTCAGTTATATGTGAATAAAACTGAGGTGCAACTATAGTGAGAAACAAGCATTAAAGCGAGAGTGGAAATGTCCGAGTTTTTGAATCCCAATAGGGAAATATTTTCTCATAACTATAGAGTAGGAAAGTCGGACTGGAAATGGTTTATCTACTGCTTGAAATATTAGTGTAGGCTCAAATAAAAATATACTCATAAGAGTAGTATTGTAGAATAAAGTACCAAAGCTATACATAAATGATGTATTTGGAGATGCAATAGGGTACTTCTCCTTCTCATCTCGTTCAAATTGCTTGTATGGTAAGTACACTCAATCTGGCACTTCTTCCAATGCCTTGGTGTAATACAGGTAAATCTGTTTTAATCTCTTCAAATAGCATGTACAATTTATATCCCCTTAGGACTGGCAGCTGCCTGTGTGGTAACCCTCTGGTCACAAAGATGGTGCTGAGAGAAGGTTTGCCCATAAGGCCTTTGTGTAGGAGTTAGCTATATAGAAAGCATTAATCTGATTAATATCATAGGTATCAGTCTTCCTATTGAACAACTGTACTTCAGCAAATTATGAAGTTGTACACTACAAGATGCTATAGTCTGAGAGACATTATCCCAATTCTCTTCCTGGGAGACTCAACAGATTTAATTAGGGAATAACCCAGCTCCTCTCATATTTCCTCATTATTAGGCCCATTAAAACACTGCTCATCACCACGGTGGTACATGTCCATCAGTGCAACGTCTTCAGCCACTTCAAAAAACTCCCCATTAGTTTTTGAGTGCTGGTCATTGTCCTCAAGGATTGAATCATCGCTTACAGAACCGAGGAGGCTGGACTCAACATCTTGGGTGACTCTCTGTTTATAGCTGGCATGATACTGTTGGTAAGCCTAAGGTATTCTCCGGATGGGCCCCAAGTGTCTGACATAGGCCATACATGCTCAATACTGTGGGTTTTAGACTGCCAATGTGCGCACATTCTACATAGCTTGGTAGCTCAATGGTCAAGTTGATACAACAAATCTATTGACCATTGAGCTACAACAAATCTAGACTACTTCCTGCTGTTATATAAGGATAAGTATGATGCATGACATGTATATAAAGAGTAGTGTCATACCTGCAGTCAACCAAGCTATTTTAATAGCCTTCCACTCATCTTTTAGCCATCGTTGGAGGAAACAACATTCACACATGATCCACTGCTGTTCCTCCTTGCATTAATCCACTTCCAGCATGCACTAGATACCTCTCCAATTATTGCTGTCTATAAGCCATTCAGGATGTAATGTGGTGGTGACTCCATCAGAATTGTCCACCAAACTGATATCTTGCCAGATATTGTCATCCACATTGAGCTTGAGTAAACCGTCTTGCGAAATACATTGAGGCAAAACTGTGTTGGAGGGAGATTTACCCTAACAGACACAACTGGTCACAGAGACTATTGTAGGTGCTGGTAAATTTGAGGATACCGGGCTGATAACGCTTCACCAAAGATAATACATGTCCGTTGAGTTTATGGACTGCAGTAATATTTAGTGGAAGGCAAAGAAAGGTGAAAGGACCACTATGCTCACCACTAGTAGTACACTGATAGGATTGCTCAAACTTTGCTGGTGTAAGCAATGCTGTAGTCATTGCTTGATGGCAAGCATGTTCATCCGTAATTGTACATATAAATTACTCTTGAGCCTTTTGAGATCAGCGTGTTCTTCTACCCCGAGTGGTTTCAGTGTGTGAGATATTTTTCCTTCAGTCAGAAGGCATCTTTCATGGTATCCTTGTATCTGTGTTTTAAGGCTAACAGTGTCAATATTTTTTTCACTGAGTAGTTTTATTTCAAGCTGTTACAAAGTGCCTTTGTTATCTATTAGGTTCTTCTGTAGAGCCATAATGTGTTCTACCATTTGAGTTCCTTTGTTTCAGGAGCATCCCGAAAAAAAAATACTTGAGTAAAAATCTAGGGCTAGTAATAAACATACCAGGGACAGGCTTTGTTTATTCAGCTATTTGTAAGTTCTATTCCCTGCGCAAAATATGTTGGTCTACATTTATTGCCTGCAAAACTGCCTCTGCTGCCTTGCTCTTCTCTAAAGACTGATACCAGCACCTATTTAGCCACTGACCGAGTCTAAGCAGAGACTGGTCATTCAAGAATTTAACTTGATTGCCCAAGACAAAAATTCTCTGGTGATAATGCATGCAATGGAATCAGAAATAGATATGTGAGTAAGATATATACGTGGACTGACCCCCAAAATATGCAGAGAAGGTATCAGCTTTTTGATTGAACTCCAAAAGCACTCACATCCTTTACCGTCTGTAAGCCCAAAACCTGAGCATTTGCAAGGATGGTAAATTATCTGACAAGACCACAAGTGGCCGTAGGCATAAAACACTGAGATTGTGAACATAATGCAAGAAAGATATGGTTTGAGGAAGCCCCACTTCAAGCAGCTGCAATGAAGCTGACATCTGATGTTGTAAAAGACCCCTACTGTCATAGACAACGGTAAAATTTCGAAAAGATGTTGCAACAGCACCAATGTGTAATATTGTTTGTCTCCTGTAGATGTCATATTGGCAAGCCAGAGAACTTGGTCGTGTCAGCAGAGAAGAGCCATAAGCCCCTTGTCCGGGAGAAATCTTGTACTTGCTTTCTCTTGTTTTTTGTCTGCGGTGAGAAATAACTCTTGACAACTATTTAAGACCAATATGGGGACCTTCATGCCATCTTCATAGCTGTTTTCTTCTTCACAAGCTTGCTCCCGGTTTAAATTTGTATCACTTTCTCCCTGCGTTCAACAATTGTTGACATGAGCTTCCATTTTTTCCACTTCTTCCTCATTTAGAAAGACAGGGTCTTATCCCCTGACACAGCCACCAAACCTGTCTCCATCTTGGCCATATTTCTGAGTGAAGCATGCATCAAGGCACACCATGCAATTGACACTAGATATAACCTCAGAATACATCCTAATAGTTGCTACAATACTCACAACATATCTTGACCATTTACTGGGTGTTGTGGAGCTGTCTCCCGGTGATCTAACCATGCATTTTTGATTCTTTGCTGTACAAGACTGTCTGCGGGTCTAAGTAGAGTGGTATACCAATGCAGCACACTACTGAATCAATGGCGCAGGCTATCATGCAAAATAGTTCCAGAGAATACAATGCAACCAGTGGTGAAATCTATACTTTTGTGGTGAGCTTGTAGCCTCTACCAAAGAGAAAGGACTCAATTGTATCACTAAAGGCAGTTAGCCCTGGCGGCATATGCAAAAAGAGTTCCCTGAAGAATTTGAGTAATCACACGTCCACAGTGAGTAAAGGGACTACATGTTACAATACACAATTTTTGGACCTTTAAAATTTCATTCTCCACTCTAACTTTCTTTTGTAGTTTTCACACACTGTGCCAGGTGGCACTTTTTATTTTATTTAAACTCCACTTTCTTGCGCTGCGCTGCTTCTTTATTTTTAACTACAAGTCTCTCATGCAGTGGGGCTGATCACACGGGCTATGTCCTATGACATAATCAACCACTGCTATCATCAACTGTATAGTACATATGTAGAAACACTCTGTAGTAGTATATAAACCCAATAGATCCAGGAAACTCCTCAGTGAGTCCTCCTGTTATTTACCCATAACAAACTTGGTACTACCTAAGGGAGATTACCCTCTCCTTTATTCACCCCTCCTTGCTTGTCTTTGACGTGCTTCAGAGTATACAAACTTTGGTTGTTACATTAGGACTCACTCTTTTACTCTCTCACACTTTTGTGCAAACCCGGACCACAGGGTTAAGTGGAGTCTTTCAAACAGTAAGACTTTGGTGCTAGACCAGTGTTGAGCTTTTGCTAGCTGGCAGGAACAAAGTGTGTGCCCTAATCCTACAGGCATGCTCCTCAGGACAAGATACTAGAGAGATCAAATCAAACTATACACAGCCCCCAGTGTCAAAGGGAGTACTTTAGCTCAACAGTGGGGTGAAACCATTGCTGATTAGAATTTACATACAAAGCTTCTTCTTTGGATACCTCTGACCAGGCCAGGCACTTGCCTCTGCTAGTTGGAGAAGGGGTGACAGCTTCAGCCCATATAGTTATAATTGCCTGTCTTAGATGGGGCATTATTACCTGATAATATTCCTATATAGATGGGGCCAGCGGAGTCCGGTGAAGTTTACCAGCCAGACCATATTAGACATGATATTAGTTTGCCCATCCTCGACAACCCGGGTGGGTGAGAGACTGTCCATCCTAGACAACGAGGCTGGGTCACAGGATGATGAGTGACAAAGAGCGTAATAGGTTGCTGAGATGCAGTGTGGTCTTACCTTCACTCTTGATAGATATCTGAGCTATTATTAAGTCTTGACAATTCTGCCTTCCAAGGTCCTGATGGATTTGAGGCATCCATAAGACATCTTTAGGTATATATTTATGTATAGCAATACTATTATCTGTTACAATACACAATTTTTGGACCTTTAAATTTTATTATCCTTTTTAACTTTCTTCTGTAGTTTTCACACACTGTGCCATGCCGCACTTTCCATGTTGTTTAAACTCCACCTGCGCTGCGCTGCCTAACGTCCACAAGGAATACTAGAACATGTGAGGAGACTGTATGGCAGACTAAAAGTCTAGTGCAGGAGTATTGGAGCGGACAACCAGAGTACCATGTGGGAATAGAGCATAGAGTTCGGCAGACCACAAGGAACATAATCCCGAGTATACCAATGGTTCGGGGGCGGGCCCAGAGAACAACTTCTTGGGAGATGCCAGAGTTCTGTCTTCCGGTACAAATATAACAGTATCCCCCTTTTAGGGTTGAACCCTTGAGACCCAAAACTAGCCTTTGGGGAAAAAGGCTCCGGTGGACAAATTTCCCGGTAGTGAGTGACGTGTGGAGTCCGGCTGAGTTTGAATGAAAATATATAACACGGGGGGTTGGCTCAGAATTCCTTCAGTTGAACAGTCTTGTTCAAAAACTTAGACCACCCTTCCCACCACCAATAATCCTATTACCACCATGTTTAGCGCCCCCGAGACCACAATTGCAAAGATGGCCCAACTCCATGCACAGATGGCAGAGGCCAAGTGTCAGCTCAAGGCGGAGCAAAAAAGGGCAGAGGAGGAAGCAAAACAGGCAGTAGAAGCCCAGAGGGTCAAACAGCAAAAACAGCGGGTTGAGAGAGAGGAGGAGGAGAAGGAGAAAACAGAGGCGGCAGTAGCGGGGGAGGCGCAGCCCACCAAAGTCAAGCAACATTCTCATGCCTGTTAGTAGTGCACTTTGCACAACATGTTTAGGCCAAACATTGCAATGGTCTTTGGAGTCACTGTACCTTACTGATATTATTACAGTACAAGCATTTGTACTCAGGCACTGCCAGCTCACAAAGAAGTCCTAGAATTGCCAGAATGTAAAAATAAAAAAGAAGTACAGGCCTTTTTGGGATTTGTAAACTTTTATAGATGTTTCATACAAGAATTTGGGTTGATTGCAAAACTGGTGACAAAGCTCACTGGATAGGAGGAGTTCATATGGGAAACTGAACAGACAGGAGCATTTAAAGAGATAAAAAAAGAGAATCAGTTCAACCCCAGTACTCGCCCTACCGACCAATGACAGTCAATATAGAGTGGAGATGGATAGTAGTGATTATGCATTGGAAGCAGTCCTCTCTCAAGAACAGAACAATGTCTGGAAACCAATAGTTTATTTGTCAAATCTCTTAATCCAACTGAGAGAAACTATGAGATCTACAACAAAAAACTATTGGCAATAATAATAGCTTTAGAGGAACAGTGCCATTACCTAATGGATGCAGCCAAAGAGTTTGAGATCTGGATGGACCATCAGAATCTCACATACTTCAAACAACCTCAGAATCTAAACAGAAGACAGGTGATATGGGTTAGTGAACTGGCGAATTATCATTTTACTCTTCACCACAAACCAGGAGCTACCCACATTGAAGCCAATCTTCTGTCAAGACGAGCAGACCATGACAAAGGGCAAAATGATAATGAAGATGTAATCATACTAAAATCCGATATATTTAAAATTAACATGACTCTAACAGCAAAACAAAGAAAAGAATTATACAAAGCAGATGACAAAGCTGTAGAGATATTTAAATGGATCAAGAAAAGAATGGGACATGTTGACAAAGTCATAAAAAGGTTGATGACAAGTTACAAAACCACCCAGGCGGTTAGTGGACCGATAAAGGATTCATATACTTTAAAGGTCAAATGTATGTGCCGAAAGTCCAAAAATTGAGAGAGCAGATCATTAGAGACCATCACGACTCTATTGTTGTTGGTCACCCAGGCTGGTATACAACAAAGGAGTTAGTTACCCGGACATATTGGTGGCCATACATGGACAAAGATATCCAAGGATATGTAACCGGATGTGAAACCTGCCAAAGAACTAAAATATATCATCAGAAAAAGGCAGCACCATTACATCCAAATAAGATCCCAAGCCACTCCTGGTAAATTATATCCACAGATCTCACCGAGAACAACCGCTACCTAAAGCTGGAACAGATTATTGCATTGATGGATATATTTTGTATCAAGCCTGAATACATATGAACCATCAGTAGCATGTACGTAGCAGTCTAAATTTGTTGATTCTCTTGTACAACAATTATGCATGTTTTATATTACTGTATCTGTGGTGAAGAAACAGCAGCAGCACTGAACAGCATAGCGAACCAAGTGAATGAAGAAAAAAAAAGAAAAAAACTAGTTCATGCTAAGTTCTGCCCCTTCTGTTGCAGACAATTCCAAAATGTACAGTACAGATTGTTTCTCACCCTCAACTCTTGCAAGTAGTTGTTCCACATTGTTTACCTAATAAAACCAAGTGAAACACTATCCAAGAGGCAATATAAATGACTATATTATTTACTTAAGTAAAACTACAATAGATATCAGTTGAAGATAATCTCTATGAAATGTAATTTAAAATATCTCAGCCACTGGTCAAGAGGCTATAAAAATGACTGAGGTGCTCCTATACTAAACCCTCTACTACATATAGCTGAAGGTGCTACTTGCTCACATATAATGACTCCTAGGAGAGCAATAGCTGCTTTGCAGCTTTGACTGAGACTGGGTTTTTCCAGTTTTGTCACTTTCAAGTTGCAACAAAATTAAGCTAATAGCTGTTGCCATAAAACAGTACATAGTTAGACCAAAGCTTTGATTACTAATCAACATGTCTTCAATTTCCACTGGGCATCTGACATTAATCACAATTGTCTAGATTGACAGCTTACAGGTTATGAGCCAAGCTACCACTTTGAATCATACAACTCCAATAAGCTTGTCAGGCATATGTGCAATTCCTAAGTTAATTGATGATGCCTCAAACTGGTCCTTATGAAAATCTCAAACAATGATGTCAATCTTAGCCAGAGGTCTTCTCCAACACCTACTTGGTCAGGTGGCAGCCCCAACTCCTCTCCCTTGAAGCACAGATGGGGACTAAATAGAACATTAGTTGAACATGTATGTGCAATGTTAATCAAAGCCAAACATCCAAAACACCTATGAGTTTATGGTTGACTTGGAAAAGCATACATGGTAAATTCCAAAACACCCACTTGTCCCAGAACATATAGTTAGTTTGAGCGTGACAATAATCACCACCAGCTCCACTATTGTCATCTTAATAAGCTCGGCATTGTGGCTGGTATCTCAGCGCCCGTTCTTTTGATATCAAACCATGGACATCCCTAGGACCCTTCATGGTCTATCCTTTCCACAAAATCTTCTCTGACTGACATTTAGGACATTTTTTGAGGTTGCATAGCTTGAAGTTCGCATAGATGGGATGGACAATGTTGAGTGGTTTCAGGTAAGTAGTTGCTGGTTTGATTATAGGATCACATTGACACTTTTCAAGGTGAAGATACGTTGGTGGGACAAACCAGGTCCAAGTATAGGAAAACTGTTTGATAGACTTGGGGGGTACACAAATTTCTTATTACTTGCATGTTTGCTTGTTTTTAATGTGGTCTATATATTCCACAATGCTTGCCACCTATGTCAACTTATAATACTATAGATGTCCTTTGAGAACCCCATCTATTGTCAAGAAAATTCAATGAGACTATTATTCTTACTGCTAGTGTCCCAATAGTTCTCTAGAATGTCCTTGTTTATTTATAGGTGTCCTTTAAGAGTATCAGATAGTATTCAAAAACTAATTAAATATCCTTATTATGCCCCTGGGTGGTTTTTTGGAGTACCTGCATAATGTTCACAACATCCAATGAAACTACTGGCTATACCAAATACTTATATAGGATGTCCCTACACCGGGGTAAATAACCTATTTTTTCTGAATTAAAATTGTGAAAAAATGCTATTCAAAGACAAAAATTACATAAATATTTCTCAGAGATAAAATAGTGGAGTAAGTTTGAGTGATTACTCACTTTTAAAACTTTTTACTCCACTTTCTCCACTAGAAAACATGCTATACGTATTTTAAACTTATGCCAGACAAATATTTTGAGCATAGTTTAGAATTATTTTAAATGCTTACTGTTTGTTTCCACAATTTTTCTACAGAGAAATCATTAATCAAATAATCTTCAAAATCACAATCTCCTCCCTTTTTCCATTGTGAATTTTAGCTGCATTTATTTAGTGTTTTTGCTCAACCATTTTTAAATGTCTGGTCAGAAATAAGATATCATAAACACTGTTCTCATTCAAAACTTTAGATGTAAAAGCATGATGATTGTTTGCTACTTTATTTCAATGTATTTTGGTAAAGAAAATTGAAACTTTTCTAAGCAGATGAATACATAATGATGTTAGCTTGGCTGCCTAGCAAAAAGTGAAAGTACTTTGTAAATTTACTTTGGTTTTTGCTACTGTTTTATTTCTTTGTGTTGTGGGATAAATTTATCAAATTGCATCATGAGAAAAACTAATATAATTTTGTTATTTACCTCCAATCATTTCAGAATATTCTCACTCACAAAATTCTGATTGGCTATATACTTTCCCAGCAAGAAAAATGCTGAATAAAATGCAATATTAGCTGATAACACCACTGTTAACCACACAATAAACATGCACACATTACTGTTAGTAGTCTTAACGGTCAATGTTAATGGTCAACAGTTCATATTGTATCCACAATTATGACCATGGTAAAATTTTAAATATATCTACAATTTCTTCTCAATTTTATCTGCATGTATCCACTGCATTAACATCAAGATGAAACAGAAGATTTAGAATGTGTTTACAATTTTACTTCCATGTGTCTAAAGCTGCTTGGCACCTGCTGAGGCTGCTTGAAGCTTCCCAGAATGCCTTGATACCCTGCCTACTGAATCTTTCTATTTGCTGATTTTCCAGCTGTGCATGTAAAACTCCTTGGCACCTGCTGAGGCTGTTTGAAACTTCCTGGATTGCCTTGACACCCATGAAAGCTGTTTGGTGCCTACTGAGTCTCTGAGGCTGTTTGAAGCTTCCTGGATCACCCTGATGCCTACTGAAGCTGCTTGGTGCCTACTGAGTCTCCTTATGGCTGTGTGTAAAGCTACTTGACACCTATTGAGGCTGTTCAAATCTTCCTGGATTGCCTCAATGCCAACTGAAGCTGCTTAGTACCTACTAAGTCTTTCAGCTGCCTTAATACCTGCTAAGACTGTTTGAAGCTTCCTGGATCACCTTGATGCCCACTGAAGCTGCTTGACACCTGCCAAGGCTGTTCAAAGCTTCCCAGATTACCTTGACACCCACTGAAAGTGATTGGTGCCTACTAAGTCTTTTTATTTTCCTATCTTGCAGCTGCCTGTAAAGCTCCTTGGCACCTGCTAAGCCTGTTTGAAGCTTCCAAGAATGCCTTGATACATGCTACACCCAGTCATAGGGTAGGAAAACTGATAGACTCAGTAGACACCTAGCAGCTTCAGCAAAGTGGAGCTATTGTGCCCTTTTTCCTTTTTCTCTTGCCACAATTACGCAGTTTTGTCCTGTACATCCAGATGGTGTTTAAGGCTTCAATGCAATAATGAAACTCACTTACACTAGTAAAGACACTTAAATAATACGCAAAAAGTCTTAATGCCACTGGCAAAATCTGATGTTACTTTTAGAAAATGCACAGTGTTTGTTCTAGGAGTATTTTTCCCCCAATATTTCACCCTTGGCAAATAGGTTGTTATAGTGAAGGACCAAATGGAAAATTATCATATAGATCCATAAATATGTACAGCTTGTAACTATGCAGCAGCTAGCTTATATTCTACAACATGATGTTTATGAGATAGGAAGAAAAATAGTACACTGAAAACTGCTAACACTATAGAA